ATAGGACTGGTCCCAGTACAGACCCCTTGGGGACACCACTATTTACCTCTCTCCATTCTGAAAACTAACCATTTATTCCTACCCTTTATTTCCTATCTTTTAACTAGTTACCAGTCCATGGGAGGACCTTCCCTCTCGTCCCATGACTGCTTACTTTGCTTAAGAGTCTTTGGTGAGGGACCTTGTCAAATGCTTTCTGAAAATCTAAGTACACTATATAGAGTCATAGACTTTAAGGTCAGAAGGAACCATCATGATCGTCTAGTCTGACCTCTTGCACAACACAGGCCACAGAATCTCACCCACCCACTCCTGTAATAAACCCCTAACCTATGTCTGAGCTATTGAAGTCCTCAAATCATGGTTTAAAGACTTCAAGGTGCAGAGAATCCTCCAGCAAGTGGCCCATGCCCCACGCTGCAGAGGAAGGCAAAAACCCCCCAGGGCCTCTGCCAATCTGCCCTGGAGGAAAATTCCTTCCTGACCCCAAATATGGCGATCAGCTAAACCCTGAGCATGTGGGCAAGACTCATGAGCCAGACACCCAGGAAAGAATTCTCTGTAGTAACTCAGATCCCACCCCTCTAACATCCCATCACAGGCCATTGGGCATATTTACCGCTAATAATCAAAGATCAATTAATTGCCAAAATTAGGCTATCCCATCATACCATCCCCTCCATAAACTTATCATGCTTAGTCTTGAAGCCAGATACGTCTTTTGCCCCCACTACTCCCCTTGGAAGGCTGTTCCAGAACTTCACTCCTCTGATGGTTAGAAACCTTTGTCTAATTTCAAGTCTAAACTTCCTGATGGCCAGTTTATATCCATTTGTTCTTGTGTCCACACTGGTACTGAGCTTAAATAATTCCTCTCCCTCCCTGGTATTTATCCCTCTGATATATTTATAGAGAGCAATCATATCTCCCCTCAGCCTTCTTTTGGTTAGGCTAAACAAGCCAAGCTCTTTGAGTCTCCTTTCATAGGACAGGTTTTCCATTCCTCAGATCATCGTAGTAGCCCTTCTCTGTACCTGTTCCAGTTTGAATTGGTCCTTCTTAAAAATGGGAGACCAGAACTGCACACAATATTCCAGATGAGGTCTCACCAGTGCCTTGTATAATGGTACTAACACCTCCTTATCTCTACTGGAAATACCTCGCCTGATGCATCCCAAGACCGCATTAGCTTTTTTCACAGCCATATCACATTGGTGTCTCATAGTCATTCTGTGATCAACCAATACTCCGAGGTCCTTCTCCTCCTCTGTTACTTCCAACTGATGCGTTCCCAACTTATAAGAAAAGTTCTTATTATTAATCCCTAAATGCATGACCTTGCACTTTTCACTATTAAATTTCATCCTATTACTATTACTCCAGTTTACAAAGTCATCCAGATCTTCCTGTATGATATCCCGGTCCTTCTCTGTATTGACAATACCTCCCAGCTTTGTGTCATCCGCAAACTTTATTAGCACACTCCCACTTTTTGTGCTGAGGTCAGTAATAAAAAGATTAAATAAGATTGGTCGCAAAACTGATCCCTGAGGAACTCCTCTAGTAACCTCCCTCCAGCCTGACAGTTCACCTTTCAGTATGACCCGTTGTAGTCTCCCCTTTAAGCAGTTCCTTATCCACCTTTCAATTTTCATATTGATCTCCATCTTTTCCAATTTAACTAATAATTCCCCATGTGGAACCAAATCAAATGCCTTACTGAAATCGAGGTAAATTAGATCCACTGTGTTTCCTTTGTCTAAAAAAATCTGTTACCTTCTCAAAGAAGGAGATCAGTTGTTTTGGCACGATTTACCTTTTGTAAAACCATGTTGTATTTTGTCCCAATTACCATTGACCTCAATGTCCTTTTTCCAAGACCTTGCATACTACAGATGTCAAACTAGCAGGCCTGTAGTTACCCAGATCACGTTTTTTTCCTTTCTTAAAAATAGGAACTATGTTAGCAATTCTCCAGTCATACGGTACAACCCATGAGTTTACAGATTCATTAAAAATTCTTGCTAATGGGCTTGCAATTTCATGTGCCAGTTCCTTTAATATTCTTGGATGAAGATTATCTGGGCCCCCCGATTTAGTCCCATTAAGCTGTTCAAGTTTGGCTTCTACCTCGGATGTTGTAATATCTACCTCCATATCCTCATTCCCATTTGTCATCCTGCCATTATCCCCAAGCTCCTCATTAAAGACTGAGGCAAAGTATTTGTTTAGATATTGGGCCATGCCTAGATTATCCTTAACCTCCACTCCATCCTCAGTGTTTAGCGGTCCCACTTCTTCTTTCTTTGTTTTCTTCTTATTTATATGGCTATAGAATCTTTTACTATTGGTTTTAATTCCCTTTGCAAGGTCCAACTCTACATGGCTTTTGGCCTTTCTCACTTGATCCCTACATGTTCTGACCTCAATAAGGTAGCTTTCCTTGCTGATCCCTTCCATCTTCCACTCCTTGTAGGCTTTCTGCTTTTTCTTAATCACCTCTCTGAGATGCTTGCTCATCCAGCTTGGTCTACAACTCCTGCCTATGAATTTTTCCCCCTTTCTTGGGATGCAGGCCTCTGATAGTTTCTTCAACTTTGACTTGAAGTAATCCCAGGCGTCCTGCGCCTTCAGATCCACAAGTTCTTCAGTCCAATCCACTTCCCTAACTAATTTCCTTAATTTTTTAAAGTTAGCCCTTTTGAAATAAAAAACCCTAGTCACAGATCTATTTTTGTTTATCCTTCCATTTAGCTTGAACTGAATTAGCTCATGATCGCTCGAACCAAGGTTCTCCCCTACAACCATTTCTTCTATAAGGTCTTCATTACTCACCAAAACCAAATCTAAAATGGCATCCCCTCTTCTTTAGTTCAGCAACTATGTGATGAAGGAATCCATCAGCTATCGCATCCAGGAAAAACTGAGCCCTATTATTATTACTAGCACTTGTCCTCCAGTCTATATCTGGGAAGTTAAAGTCTCCCATGATCACACAATTCCTATTAGTATTTACTTCATTAAAAACATTAAAGAGGTCTCTATCCATATCCAAATCAGATCCCAGTGGTCTATAGCACACCCCAAGCACTATTCCAGAGGAGGCTCTAGTAGCTTTCTTCCCCAATGTGATTTTTGCCCAGACAGACTCTGTCTTATCCATTCCATCCCTTCTTATTCCTTTAGTCTACCTCATCATTGATATACAATGCTACTCCACCACCTTTGCCTTTATTTCTGTCTCTCCTAAACAGCACATACCCTTCAATACCTGTACTCCAGCCATGGCTACTATTCCACCATGTTTCTGTTATCCCTATAATAGTTCACTTCCCGCACTAGTAACTCTAGTTCCTCCATTTTGTTACCTAGGCTCCTCGCATTGGTGTACAAACATCTTAATTTTTGCTGTTTGGCTTTGCTCACATTCGTTACCCAATTAGGCACTGACATTCTACCACCAGTATCACCTATTAGACTGGTATCTACACTACCCTTCCTCCTTATGTCCATTCTCCTACCCACGGCTGTATCCTTTCTTACTTTACTTACTTTTCTTACTCTAAATACATTTGTTAGTCTCTAAGGTGCCACAAGTACTCCCGTTCTTTTTGCGGATTCAGACTAACACGGCTGCTACTCTGAAACCTTTCTTACTTTGTTTTCTTCCCTCTCAATGTTAAAATCCGTCGTGGAAATTACCTGGACATCTCCCAACCATCTCCCCCAAATTCCTAGTTTAAAGCTCTTAATCAGTTGTGCCAGCCTCCATCCTAGAAGTCTGTTTCCCTCCCTACTCAGGTGAAGTCCATCCCGAGAGAACAGTCCTCTGTCGATGAATGCCTCCCAGTGGCCATACATCCCAAAGTCCTCCTTATAGCACCACTGTCTGAGCCATCTGTTGATCATCATAATCTTCTCACACCTTTGTTGCCCTTCTCTAGGAACAGGCAGAATCCCACTGAAGATCACCTGAGCCTCGATTTCCTTAAGCGTCTTCCCCAGCCTGGCATAGTCTCCCTTGATACGTTCCAGCGAGAATCTAGCTGTATCATTTGTTCCCACGTGAAGGACAATCAGTGGATTCTTTCCCGCTCCCATTACGATCCTCTTCAGCCTCAGGTCCACATCCTGTATCTTAGCACCCAGCAGACAGCACACCCTTCTGTTCTCTGGATCAGCTCTGGTTTCAGGCCTGTCTATTCTTCTCAGTAAGGAGTCCCCAATCATGTAGACCTGCCTTTTCCTGGTGATGGTGCGATTCTCTGGTCTATCCCCTGTTCCCTCTGGCTGCAAGTCCTCTCGATTCCTATTCTCCCTTGCAATCCTCTGCAACCCATCCTGTGTCCTCCTGGGGCTCATATTTGGTGGTGTTATCTCCATTGACTCTTTCCCTCTTCCTATAGAACTAGCTGCTCTTCTCTTCTTCCTTGCCCTCCCACCTTCAGCGACCACCTGCTGTGCCCCTTCATATCCACTGTCTCCCGCTTGTCCACATGCTTGTTGAGCCTCTCAAAGAATTAAAAATGGAGCTTTGTGTTTTAGAAAGTGTCCAGGGGACAACAACAATACTAATATGTGGTAAAGAGGAGTATCTTTTGCTGGGGGAAAGGGGAAAGACCATCTACACAGCTTTATAAGCCGGGAAAAAGAGATCTAATTATGGTTTCCGCAAATACTTGAGTCAGTCCTTTAAGGACCTGTGTATGGATCTGTTCACACTATATAACCAGGGCAAAACCCATTGGTGTGAACTGAAGATGAAATACTGCAAGAGAAGCTTGGGATAGATATCAAAAACATCAGCAAAAAATATTTGATGGTAACTGCAGATTTAGTATAGGTAATTGGTTATAAAACTATCCAGTGCCTGCTGTACTGATTAGTGACACTTCATCTCTTGCCTATTGTGAGGCATTTTCCACCATCCATTAAGGGTCTGTAGTTTTTCTTTCAAACTCATGTAACATATTTTTGTTTCTGATGTCTTTGTTAAACAGGATGCTGCTCCCACAGAATCTTTACTGAACTGGCAGGACTATGAAGGACGAACCCCACTTCATTTTGCAGTTGCTGATGGGAATGTGGCAGTGGTTGATGTCCTGACCTCTTATGAAGGCTGCAATGTGACATCTTATGACAACCTCTTTCGAACTCCTCTTCACTGGGCAGCTTTACTGGGTGAATTGAATAACACTAAATGCAAAACTTACTTAGGGCAATTATCTGTTTTTTATCCTATCTCCTGTTACTATTAAATTCCTGCCTGGCACCATGCTAACTAATCTTTGTAGAATAATTGTGATAGGCTATCAAACTAATTGGGAAGCAAATTCCAGAGACTGAGGTCCTCCATTGAAAATGTTCTATACCAGCAGACCATGCATTCAAATCTAAGAGCAGTTACTGAGAGCATATTAGCTATTCTCAATTTAAATGGGATGCATAGGTGGAGAGGCAGTTTCTCAGGCCTCAAACCAACCAGGACTTTAAAGATCAATATCAACAATTTGAATTACATCCTAGTGCTTAGGGGGAGCCATTGCACTGTTTGGATCACTTGTGTTTTATGCTTCCTGTAGCTAACACAACTGAGCAAGTGGGTCACCTTGTTCCGCACCAGCTGTTCCTTCAGCTTCCAGGGTAATCTCTCACTGAGTCCATTAGAATAATCCCATCTGGAGGTTACCTAGAGACTCAGCCCAGAGGAACAGAAACAAACAGCTGCAGCAGGTACAGCTACACCATGAGGGGTCAGTAGGAGGAAGATGAGGCCCAAATGGAGTTATCTTTCTCACTCATCATCAGATCCAGAACTGTTTTTAAGGGAGAGCCCCCACTACCACCACCTTTGGAGGCTCTCGGAGCTTTGTGGCTTGGGGGATAAAGAAACTCCTAGGATGATCCACTCAGCAGGAGCAAAGACAAGCAGCTGGAGTAGGGACTTTCAGACACCGATGATGTCATCAGTAACTAGTTTTTAGAGTTTTTACTCTGGACATTGTTTTCCTTCACGATTAACTGCTTGCTCCAACTCCTTCCCACCCCTCCCTCACAGTCTCTTTACTTCAGCCTCAATTCACTTTCTTTCCATGCTCCTCCTCTTTCCCTCTCTTTTCTTAGCCCCCTCCCTTCAGTGTCCCCTCTCCCTCTTTCTCTTTAGCTAATCCCATCCCAGCAAAAACCCCACTCTGGGGAGGGGTGGGGGGAAAGGTGGAACTAACATGATGTTTGCAAACCATCATGTTTTTCACTCTGCATGTATGTTATATTCCTTCCCTCAACCCTTTTTTTGTTTTGTCTGCTATATTATAAGCTTTTCAGGGCAGAGACCATTTCTTATTCTGTGTTTGTACAGTTCCTAACACACTGCGGCCCAGATCTCTACTGGTCTCCTTAAGCACAGTACCAATGAGAGATAATTATACAGATAACTGTGACAAAACCACATCAGAGAGAGTTGTTTATAACCATAATGTGAAATAAATGGCCATGACCTTTCTGGCAACCAAAGCAAGGAGTAATAAGGGATCCAGAAGATCCCCTAAATGGGGAAACTCAGTGACAAAGGATGTGAACGCTCCTGCAATCATAAGCTCTAATATTGTGGAAGAAAGATGTTCCATTGGCTAGGGGTACTAGCCTGGTACTTGGCAAATCTGGGTTCAGTTCCCTGCTCCGCTCCCAGCTTCCTGTAAGACCTTGGACAAATCACTTAGTTTCTCTGTGCTTAAGTTGTCCATCTGTGAAGTGGGGCTAATAATGCTTTCCTATTTCACGGACAGGTGATATTAAAGTTTGTAAATTAGTCAGAGACTATAGTAATGGGAGTCAGATAATTACCGTAGATAAATCTAGATCCTGCCCCCAGTCATCCAGAGATTTGTCTGGCTTGAGCTTCAGTTCACCTTCTTCTAAATTTCTATCTTAATCGGGAATTTGCAAAGACATCACAGCTCCCAGGTTAGATAAGGACATAAGAATGGCCATACTGGGTCAGACCGATGATCCATCTAGCCCAGTATCCTGTCATCCAACAGTGTCCAATGCCAGGTGCTTCAGAGGGAATGAACAAAACAGACAATCATCAAGTGATTCATCCCCTCTTGCCCATTCCCAGGGACACTTCAGAGCATGGTTTTGGATGAGAGAGACAGAACTGTATGTATCTGTATACAGCCCCCCAAGCAGACCCACAAAAGCATTGAATTGGATGGGGTGACTGACTAGGGCCCTGAAGAGCACTGTACAAGAGAGCCCTTGAAAGAGATGAGCAGTTACCAGCCACTACTGCTACAGTCTGTGGTTGAGTTAACAGAACCTCTTGATCAGAGATATCTAAAAGCATCAGCGTGGACACCTAACATTTGTCCATTGCTAAGACGAAATCATTAGCCAAATGAAATCAGTGCAATCTGTGTACTATATCATGGCTGAAAAGTTGGTTGAGAGGGATGACAGATGTCCAGGGACTCCAGAGGATACTGGTGTTGCCTCGCCAGCATATTTTCAATAACCTTACTGCAAAAAGACGGGTTAGAAACAAGTAGTAGTTGTAAGGTTTGTCACCATCAAGAGGCTGTGTCTTGAGCAAGGGCCTAACAACCTCTCATTTACAAGAAGCTGGCACCCTACCCTCCTGTAGGGGCATTAAGGATCTCAAAGAACAGTAGAACCAATAGGCCAAATCTTTAGCAGGTGTAAACCTGCTCTATTGAAGTCAATGGAGTTATGCCAGTTTACACCAGCTGAGGATATAATCATTCATATTACTGATTGTATATGATTTTAGAGCTGGCTCTTCTCTCCTCACAAGGGGTTTTCAAAGCTTAATAAGTTGAATTTTGCACTTCACCTGAAATTGCAAAGTGTTACATTTCTGAAAAGTAGTATAATGAAAACTTTAGCATGAAAAGGAACTGATTTGTTTTGATTCTAGAACTTGTGAGTAGCAGCAGTGCTCAGTAGATGAATATCAGGTTCTCTGAAACTGGGTGTACTAATGGCTTTATTTGTGAACGAGTGCAGCAAGCAGAAGAAACGCTGATGTCCATGCTCCTCTCTGATATACCAGTCATTTAATGTGAAAAACACATTACTTCTAGTTATGAAGCTTTGCAAAATTCTGCTAATAATAAGACCTTTACAGACACTGTTAGGGCAAATGGGCATCCCTTGTCTCCATGCGATAGTGAGTGATAGTCATCTGTCATGCTACTCCCTTTCCCCTCCCGAAAACCCCAGTTCAGCTAGGAAAAAATACAGTTGGATTTTTTATCTTTCTAATGTTGCTATTACTGACTTTTTCCATTAACATGTCCAATCTGAGTCTCTATAAGGCCTGATCTACAAAATTTTGTCAGCATAACTATGTCAGTCAGGAATGTGAAAAAACACACCCACTAGCCGAAGTATGCCAGCAAAACCCCCATATAGACAAGGTCAGCTCCCACACTGCTGTCCTGGGCAACACAGTATGGGAAGTAGGTGAGCAGCCCTCAGAGCTGAAAGAACAGGTTAAGGACTATTTAGAAAAGTTGGACATGCACAAAACCATGGGTCCAGATCTAATGCATCCGAGGGTGCTGAGGGAATTGGCTGATGTGATTGCAGAACCATTGGCCATTATCTTCGAAAATTCCTGGTGATTGGGGGAGGTCCCAGCCGATTGGAAAAAGGCAAATATAATGCCCATCTTTAAAAAAGGGAAGAAGGAGAACCTGGGGAACTACAGACCGGTCAGCCTCACCTCAGTCCCTGGAAAAATCATGGAGCAGGTCCTCAAGGAAACCATTTTGAAGCACTTGGAGAGGAAGGTGTTGAGGAACAATCAACATGGATTCACCAAGGGCAAGTCATGCCTGACCAACCTGATTGCCTTCTATGATGAGATAACTGGCTCTGTGGCGATGGTGGATGTGATATATCTTGACTGTAGCAAAGCTTTTGATACGATCTCCCACAGTATTCTTGCCAGCAAGTTAAAAAAGTATGGATTGGATGAACGGACTACAAGGTGAATAGAAAGCTGGCTAGATTGTCGGGCTTAACTGGTAGTGATCAACGGCTCGATGTCTATTTGGCAGCCGGTATCAAGCGGAGTGCCCCAAGGGTCGGTCCTGGGGCTGGTTTTGTTCAACATCTTTATTAATGATCTGGACGATTGATAGATTGCACCCTCAGCAAGTTCGTGGATTACACTAAGCTGGAGGGTAGGAATAGGGTCCAGAGTGACCTAGACAAATTGGAGGATTGGGCCAAAAGATGTGTTTAAACAAGGACAAGTGCAGAGTCCTGCACTTAGGATGGAAGAATCCCATGCACCGCTAAAGGCTGGGGACCGACTGGCCAAGCAGCAGTTCTGCAGAAAAGGACCTGGGTATTACAGTGGACGAGAAGCTGGATATGAGTCAGCAGTGTGCCCTTGTTGCCAAGAAGGCCAACGGCATATTGGGCTGTATTAGTAGGAGCATTGCCAACAGATCGAGGGAAGTGATTATTCCCCTCTATTCGGCACTGGTGAGGCCACATCTGGAATATTGCGTCCAGTTTTGGGGCCCCCACTACAGAAAGGATGTGGACAAATTGGAGAGAGTCAAACGGAGGGCAATGAAAATGATCAGGGGGATGGGGCTTATGACTTACGAGGGAGGCTGAGGGAACTGGGCTTGTTTAGTCTGCAGAAGAGAAGAGTGAGGGGAGATTTGATAGCAGCTGTCAACTACCTGAAGGGGGGTTCCAAAGAGGATGGAGCTCAGCTATTCTCAGTGGTGGCAGATGACAGAAGAAGGAGCAATGGTCTCAAGTTGCAGCGGGGGAGGTCTAGGTTGGATATTAGGAAACACTATTTCACTAGGAGGGTGGTGAAGCACTGGAATGGGTTACCTAGGGAGGTGGTGGAATCTCCATCCTTAGAGGTTTTTAAGGCCCGGCTTGACAAAGCCCTGGCTGGGATGATTTAATTGGTGTTGGTCCTACTTTGAGCCGGGGGTTGGACTAGATGACCTCCTGAGGTCTCTTCCAACCCTAATCATCTATGATTCTATGATTCTTCTATGCCAAGAGAAGAGTGATTCTGTCAGCACAGCCAATGTTATATTCAGGGTAGTAGTAGTAACATGCTGATAGAAAAAATCCTCTGTCAGCTTATGCTGTATCTATGCTCTGGGGCTCCATCTGTATAGCTGTATCAACATAGCTATACTGGCAAAGCATTTGTGGTATAGACAAGGCCTAAGCTATAAAGTTGTATATACAAACGCTGTACGGTTTTATTCCTTTATAAGTTACCAAACACAAAACTAGTTCCCTGAAGCAACAACTAAAAATACACTTACAAATGTAAATAAATACAGTGTAAATAAAGGAAAACATAGTGTGTTTCAGCACTAACAGAAAATCAGAAAAAATTGATCTCACTGTTTCTAGTCTCACTCTCACTGTGAGGAAGAATGAGCAGGATGTGTCAAATCATAAGGAAAAGGCTTCAAACACTGCCATTCCACTTTAAACAGATCTAATCCACATGACCCTTTGGGAAGCTGAGATGCCAGTAAAGGCACTGTTAAGCAAAGAGCAAGAGGTATTGCAACTCCAGTTAGAATATAGGTCTACAGTAACTATATAATAAGCAATCCAGTGAAAAAAGTTTTTCATAGTCAGATAGGGCCATAAATTTCTAAAGGAAAATTAGTAGACATTTTAGCTGTCCTTGGATTGGCACTCCAGAAAATCTGCATCGGTCACTTGTGTCTATCTAGTATGTTGTAAGCAAAAATCATCTGGTTTGCGACTGACTGCATCCATCAGAGAAATACCATTTACATGGGGTGAATTTTCTCATCTGTAAGGCGTAGAAAGAAAAAAGTGCACAGACTTCTGGAACACTGCATGACCTCGATGAGGTCCCCATGATGGTGAACGTGAACTGTGAGACATCACTGTCAATAACTCTGTATTCATTTTCAGAAATAGCAAAAAAATTAAAAATATTAAGGAAAACCATTATATGCTGAAGAGAGATTTTAATGTAAGATTCTAAAGTGTTACTAAGTAAATTAAGGTCAAGCTTTTCAAAGCAATGCAGGGATTTAGCATGTAATAGAAATGGCAGTCCTTGCCCCAAAGAGTTTAAAATCTAGCTCAGAAAATCTCATCCTATGTATTTTTCTGCCAATATTTTATTATTTTCAAATAGAGCCCTGGTTTCATGGGGTTTTCTGTCATGGCCCTAGGACTTAGGATGTTCACATCTCACTGGTACTGATAGAAAAGAAGTGGCACATATTACACCTAGCCACAACATGTGCCTTCCTGAGCTAGTATGCCTCAAGAGTGTTGATTCTGGGGATCTCTGCTTAGTTTAGTGTCTCTGGCCCTATGAGAATTCAAACAGCAAAGAGATGATCATTTTTCCTTGTGAGGCATTTTTATATCTTTTTCCCTCTGAAAAACAGATCCCTTCTTCCTGGGGGAAAAAGGGGAGGAATACACTTAATAAAGTTTTTGATCCTTGATCTCTCACAGTGGCTTCTTTGCATTTAAATTAACAGGATTTAACATCTTCTTGTTAGAGACTATCATTTTCATTACATAAGGCTTTTCCCCTGTTTGATGAGTTACGTAGTCACAGAGGATTACAATGCAAATGCTTGTTATCAGTTTATAACACAGGATGTAATTGAGAGAGAACAATACATGCAGCATCCTATTTGCATCTTATAAAACACTGAACACATTCTTATCAACATAGCATCTTATATTTATTTTGATACTGCTAACACACAAGTAAGCAAGGCTGGTTTCCAGCTATGTATTTGTAAGTGTTCAGTGAAGCCTGAGGCCTTGGCATGAATTGGCATCTGGTCTGCCAGCATCACAACCCCATTCGCCGGAGTCCACTACGTTGCCTAGAGGCATGGCACCAAACAGTGTATTCACTAGACAAACACAGCATGAAATCTAGTGTTAAAATTCTTTCCAAAGTAATGTGGTGCAAGGATTCACATCAGGTATGTGTGGGCATCCCCTTCCTATTCCCCTCGCTGGACAGGCTGATCATTACAGAAGCTTCCCTTGGGGCCCCACATGGACAGCCAGACAGCACAGGGCACTTGGATGCCCAGCAATGCCAGGATGCATGTCAGTCTTCTGGAACTTTGGGCAGTCCAAGAAGCTTGCAAAGTTTTTGCGCAATTTATCCAGTTCCACTATGTCCTTATAATGTCAGACAATATCACAACCGTCTTCTACATCTATAAACAAGGAGGGGCACAATCCAGCCCCGTGTGTGTAGGAGCAGTCACGCTGTAGAACTGATGTATCAGAAATCAAATCATCCTGTCATCAGCCAATCTTCTGGGAGCTCAGAATGTGTTGGCGGACACTCTCCGCAGGCATTTTGCCATCAGTCACAAGTGAAAGCAGTCCTTTCATGATCCCTTGACCCGGAAGAAGGGCAGGATCAAGCATCCCAATCCCGAAGCACTTCATCTCCTGGCTTGGTTTTTGGATGTCTGTCATCCCCAGAACATTCCTGTTCTGAGGCTGTACAATCCATCCTTGATAACAGCAGAAAAGATTCCTCTAGGAAAAGCTATTCAGCCAAGTGAAGGTGTTTTTCCACCTGGGTAGAGCTGAAACACATGTCTCCTGAGTCAGCAGATTTTCCCTTTATTTCTCTCAAAATGACTGGGCTCTCCCTCAGTTCTGTAGTCCCCCTGGTAGCAATCAGTACATGCCATCCGCTATCAAATGATTATTTAATTTTCACTCACCCGTTGACTAACAGATTCTTAAAAGGCCAAATCAGAACTTTCTGGCCAGTAAGGAAGCCTGTCCCTCACAGGGACATAAACCTTGTACTTCCATCACTCACTAAGTTTCCCTTTGAAACACTAGCCATGTGTTCCATGTATCACCTGTTAATGAAAGTTTTATTATTTGTGTCCATCACTTCAGCCAGAAGGGTAAATGAGCTTGGAGCCCGACTGGCAGAGCCTCCATTCTCTATATTCCATAAGTACAAAGTCTCATTAGGACTACATCTGAAGTTCACCCCAAGGTACTTTCAGAGTTCCAGTTAAACCAGTCAGTCCACTTACCTGTTTTTCCACATGCATCTGAGTAGGATAGAAGACTTCATTCCCTTGGCCTGCTACCTGCAAAGGATGAAACCAATCAGAAATCATCTAAACTGTTTCTCGCCATAGCAGAATGACTCTGAGGTCAAGCTATATCTCCCCAGAGTCTCTAAATGGATCTCGGGCTGTATCCTACTCTTCTACCAGCTGTCACATCTTCCTCCCCTCATGGATAAGGGCTTATTCTACAGGAGCACAAGCGACATCAGTGGCATCGCTTCAGGATGTGCCTCTACTTGACATTTGCAAGGTAGCTACATGGAGTTCCATCCACACATTCATGAGACATTAGGCTGTAATACAGGACTCCTTAACTGATGCATCCTTTGGATCAGCGGTCCTTCAAATAACTCTGCCACCTGCATCCTCACACTTTAGAGTACTGCTTGTCATTCACCTGCAGTGGAATGCACATAAGGACCAGCACTCAAAGAAGAAGAGAAGGTTAATTATCTTATCTTATAATAACTGGAGGTTCTTTGAAACGTGTGCGCCCTCTGTATGCACTACTCGCCCTCCTTCCCCTCTGCTTCGGATCATTCCTGGAATTACAGTAGAGAAGGAACTGGAGAGGTGATCAGTCTACTCCACCCTTTATACCCTTGGCTCGAGGCACAACGAGAGCAAGGGCACATGCGCAGACCAATAGACACTGGCTGCAAGAATTCTCCAACTCCAGGCACATAAAGTGCATGTGCACCCACAGTGGAATACAAATAGGGACCACACATCTCAAAGAACCTCCAGTATCTGTAAGGTAAGTAACTTTCTCATATAGAATTAATTTAATGAGTTGGAACATAGAGTTGAAATAATGGCTGTGCTTGGGGAAACTGGAGTTTTGGGGGAAGAAATTAGAATGCTTAGAAGACGTTTTTCAAATGATTGCAAGAAATAATATCCAGAGGCCAAATCCTGAGATTTTTAGTTGTTTTTCATGTCGTTCTCAGTAAGATTACCATGATCTTCAATGGGAATTCTGCTTGAATAAAAACTGAGTAAGGACCTCCAGGCTTGATTCCTACAACATACTGTACTTTGAAATGAAATTGCTAGTTTAAGCAACACAAGCAACCAAAAGCACATCATCCCAGACAACAGCTCACTTTGCTGTCTTGAGCTGACCACTGGGTCAGATTCAAGGTTTTGGTTGTAATTTCCAAAGCCTTGTATGGAAGTATCCATCTCACTTATTACAGTATAGTAGACTGTTGTTTGACAAAGTACTATTGATGGTGTAGTAGTACGCTATAATAGCCTTTAATCTTTTACTCTAGATGCTAAATGGCCTTCTCTCAGTTTCATTTTCCCGCCATCATAGTTCCCTGGTGGCCTGCAAAAGATGAGGGTAGAAGGAACAGTGAAATTAGAGCACCATTGGCAAAAACAGCATACCAAGTTGGACAATTGCAACATAAAGCTCATGTGAAGTCTTATGATTTTATTGGAATGTCCTAGCATTTATTCATGTTTGTTGATTTTCCTTTGTTTAATTTAATAGGAAAGAAGACTTCAGAGCAAAGCAACTAGTGAGCTGCATACATTATTCATATGTTAATTTCTGCTCTTTTGTCAGGCCATACACAGATTGTCCATCTCCTGTTAGAAAGAAATAAGTTTGGAACCATCCCATCTGATAGCCAAGGGGCAACACCCTTACATTATGCAGCACAGAGCAACTTTGCTGTAAGTATGGTATATCTGAAACAAAGCAAATTATTTTAAAATATAACATAGATTATACAAATTATTGTAGAATAATAATTATCAAGTATCAAGCGGAGTGCCCCAGGGGTCCATCCTGGAGCTGGTTTTGTTCAACATCTTTATTAATGATCTGGATGATGAGATAGATTTCACCCTCAGCAAGTTCGTGGATGACACTAAGCTGGGGGGAGAGGTAGATACGCTGGAAGGTAGGGATAGGGTCCAGAGTGACCTAGACAAATTGGAGGATTGGGCCAAAAGAAATCTGATGAGGTTCAACAAAGACAAGTGCAGAGTCCTACACTTAGGATGGAAGAATCCCATGCACCGCTACAGGCTGGGGACCGACTGGCTAAGCAGCAGTTCTGCAGAAAAGGACCTGGGATTATAGTGGATGAGAAGCTGGATATGAGTCAACAGTGTGCCCATGTTGCCAGGAAGGCTAACGGCATATTAGGCTGCATTAGTAGAAATGTTGCCAGCAGATCGAGGGAAGTGATTATTCCCCTCTATTTGGCAGTGGTGAGGCCACATCTAGAGTACTGCATCCAGTTTTGGGCCCCCCATGCAGAAAGGATGGGGACAAATTGGAGAGAATCCAGCGAAGAGCAACGAAAATGATTAGGGGGCTGGGGCACATGACTTACGAGGAGAGGCTGAGGGAACTGGGCTTGTTTAATCTGCAGAAGAGAAGAGTGAGGGGGGATTTGATAGCAGCCTTCAACTACCTGAAAGGGGGTTCCAAAGAGGATGGAGCTTGGCTATTCTCAGTGGTGACAGATGACAGAAGAAGGAGCAATGGTCTCAAGTTGCAGTGGGGGAGGTCTAGGTTGGATATTTGGAAACATTATTTCACTAGGAGGGTTGTGAAGCACTGGAATGGGTTACCTAGGGCGGAGGTGGAATCTCCATCCTTAGAGGTTTTTAAGGCCCGGCTTGACAAAGCCCTGGCTGGGATGATTTAGTTGGTGTTGGTCCTACTTTGAGCCGGGGGTTGGACTAGATGACCTCCTGAGGTCTCTTTCAACCCTAATCTTTTATGATTCTATGAAGAAGGGTTTCTTCAGGTATGTTAGCAACAAGAAGAAACTCAAGGAAAGTGTGGGCCCCTTACTGAATGAGGGAGGCAACCTAGTGACCGAGGATGTGGAAAACGCTAATGTACTCAATGCTTTTTTTGCCTCTGTCTTCACGAACAAGGTCAGCTCCCAGACTGCTGCACTGGGCAGCACAATATGGGGAGAAGGTGCCCAGCCCTCTGTGGAGAAAGAGGTGGTTCAAGACTATTTAGAAAAACTGGACGTGCACAAGTCCATGGGGCCAGATGCGCTGCATCCGAGGGTGCTAAAGGAGTTGGCGGATGAGATTGCAGAGCCATTAGCCATTATTTTTGAAAACTCATGGCGATCGGGGGAGGTCCCAGATGACTAGAAAAAGGCTAATGTAGTGCCCATCTTTAAAAAAGGGAAGAAGGAGGATGCAGGGAACTACAGGCCAGTCAGCCTCACCTCAGTCCCTAGAAAAATCATGGAGCAGGTCCTCAAGGAATCAATTATGGAACACTTAGAGAAGAGGAAAGTGATCAGGAACAGTCAGCATGGATTCACCAAGGGGAAGTTGTGCCTGACTAACCTAATTGCCTTCTATGATGAGATAACTGGGTCTGTGGATGAGGGGAAAGCAGTGGATGTGTTATTCCTTGACTTTAGCAAAGCTTTTGATACGGTCTCCCACAGTATTTTTGCCGCCAAGTTAAAGAAGTATGGGCTGGATGAATGGACTGTAAGGTGGATAGAAAGCTGGCTAGATCATTGGGCTCAACGGGTAGTGATC